CTTCATGATTCCCCTTACATGAGAAAACTCAACTATAATTAGTGATCAAAATAAAAGATAATTACAAGTAGGGAGTACCTTTTTTGCAAAGGGGAAGGGGATTAAGATTATGGAATGAGGGAATAGGGAGAAGAGAAAGGGAATGAAACAAAGAATTAAAATGTGTTATGTACATATCTCAACTCCCCACAAAGAACATAATTATGTATTGCAACATGTACTAATGAAAAAAACTAAAAATTACTTTATTCTAGATATTTTCCTTCACTAATAAAACTATACATTACTAAGCAATCAATTAATTAACATTAATTAATGTTCCTATTAAGTGTATGAGCATTTCAATAATGAACTACTTCTCATTATTTAAAAGATAATGTATGGCAAACCAGCTTAAGAATCACTGGAGTTAATTTGTAATGTGACATTCATACTTTATTTCATGACCAATGACTTTTGAGATTTCTAAAAATTGTCAATTCCAGATATCTCACAAAGACAGACCTTAAATATTAGGAAAGATTCTATAACCTCCTCACACCAGCACCACCACTAGGTTAAACAAACCATCCTAAGGAAGGAATTCTGTAACTTTTAGTCTAGATCAGCAATAGTGAAAATTTGAGAGACATACTCAAAACGCAACCCAAAACCCACTTATTTATCATAAAATGCCAACAGTGCAATTAAACCTCAATACTGAGGTTTTAGTTTAGGGAAAAAAAAACAATTCATACGCTTGGCTCATGTGCCCAATGCAGCACGTGTGCCATAGGTTTGCCACCACTAATCTAGGCCATAAACTAGTAGGTATCCTTGCTACCATGTACTTTCTTATGGTAAAAGTTCCCACTCTACTCTTAGTACGTTTTTAATTATCTGTCCTCCATGGAAAGACAGCAAGTTCCATGGGATTATAACCACTCTCCTTATCTATATGAAGAATTGAACTAGGTTCCTCATCTGAACCACAGACACAGAGAATGACTTCAGAAACCCTTTATATTCTTTCCATTTTAGATGCATAGTAGAGAAGTTAACCAAAGTCCAGATGACAATACCTGCCTATTCTGACACTCAATACAAGGTTACAAAAGGAATGATCTAAATTAAAGCTAAATATCTACTAGAACTAGACAGGTGATGGTGAAGGTGGTGATGACCATGATAATAAGTTAATAATGATAAAAGAATATTTTGACTACATGCCTGTCTCTCCTTTCATCCACCTGCAACTATATTACTTCAATTTTGTAGAGGAAACCTAAGGCTGAGAGAAGTGTAAGGAAGCTAGTGATAAAGCAGAATTCAACTCTAGGCATCTAAAGCCTCACACTGTAAACGACAATACAGTAGTCTTCTCTCACCCACAGCAGATACATTCTAAGAAAGACACCTTCCTCAGAGTATGCATAAAAGTTCTCACATTCCACTCACATTAAAATGTCCAGAAAAGGTAAACCTAAAGAACAAAGGCATACTGGTTGCCTACTGAGGCAGAGGAAAATAACTGCAAGTGAAGACAATACACAATAAAAAGGAAAACAGAAAGACTAAAGCATGAATAATCTTAGCAGCTCTTTTTGTAATAACCCAAAAGCAGAAATAATCCAAACATTCAGCAACAACAAACAGGTGAGTGACTGCTATGGTTTGTGTCTAGATGTCCGTCCAAAGCCTCTTGGGGTCACAGGACTTTGAATCTAGAGTGTGTAGTGCCAGAATTAAGGGTGTGTGACTCCTGATCAGCGCACTAATTGGCTTGGCACCACCCTAATCCCAAGAGTCTGGATAAGATTTAAGGGTCAGAAATATGCTGTTACGTCTTCTTGTTGCTTAGCTACCTTGGTCACCATGAACTGTGGTTCCTGTCTGTGGTGCCCCTCTGCCATGCCACCCTGCCTTGGAGCCAGCTGATTATGACTGAAACATCTACAAACTGTAAGCCAAATAAATCTTCCTCCTTTAACTTTCAGCATCCGCTATTGAGTCCCAGCAACAAAAGAAAAGAAACTTACGACAATGGCTAATATGTGATATACCCACACAGCAGACTGTTACATAAAACACATATATACATACATATATAGTGACACATACTATAACTTGAATAAATCACAAAACTCCTTATGCTGAATGAAAAAAGACCCAAGAGAAGATACTAAATAACAGTATTTCAATTATATGGAATTTATATACTTCTAGAAAATACAAACACATCTACAATGATAGAAAACATCAGTGCTAGCCTTGGGACCAAGGAGGAGGGTGAAACTGGCTACAAATGAGTAAGAGGAAAGTTTTCAAAAAGGAAGAAATGTTCTCTATGCCAACTGTGGTGGTATATATATAAATATGTCAAAATTCATCAAACTTTGCACTACAAATGGTTGTAAATTATTATATGTAAATTATACCTCAACAAAGTTGATTAGAAAACAGTAATTCACGTGTAAGTGCACATTTATTTAAGATATAAAACTACCAGGCCTTTGTTCTAACCAGTAATTCCTAAGTGAATTAATTTTAAAGATCAAAGAAGTTTTTTAGAGCAAACAAAGCTAGATGCAGCGATGCTGCCTAAGTGCAACCCCAGGATTTAGGATGCTGCAGCAGAGCATCATGACTTCAGGGCCTACCTGAGCTACAGAGCAAGTTCCAGGCCAATCTGGACTACATACTATCTCAAATAAATAATAAATGTTAAAAGTAATAAAAAGAAAACGGGGGGGGGCGGGGAGATGGCTCAGTGGAATAAGCGCTTCCCTGGCAAGCGCAAGGGCCTGAGTTCAATCCCCGGTTCTGCAAAAAACAAAAAAGAAAGAAAAGAAAACAAGAGCCAGAGACATAGCTTAGTGGACTAAGCAACTATACAGGCAAGTGCAGAAACCGAGGTTCGATCCCCAGCACCACATGCTGCTCTGGCCCGGCTCCCCAGCAAGCTGAGCCAGCCACAGAGACCAGGCATGGTGACGCACATATATAATCCCAGTTCTGAGGAAGCTGAACACAGGAGGATCACTAGGAGTCCGAGCTGCGCAACGAGACCCTGTACCAAATACATAAAAAAGAAAAGAAAATGAGCTCTACCAATTTAACATGTTTCACAAGCAGAAAATGGAAAAAGCATTTGAAGTTGAGGTCAGAGGACCTGTTTTGTGCCCTAGTTTCACCTAGCAACCAAGTTGCCTCAAGCAAGTTAGGATTCCACAAGCCTCACTTGTGCATCCCTAAAATGTAGATGACATTAATAACTTTACCACAAGCAAGAGTTATGGTTTCAATGAAGTAAGAGTTCCTTTGGAGCAGTGTTTCTATCTTAGCTAGAGCCAGGGAGATAGATGGCTTAGTAGAATAAGTCTATCTTAGCTAAAATTACATTCTCAGTGAGCAAATATAATAATAGAGACTTAATAAATCTAACAAATAAATAAATCCTTTGAACAATAAACCTGAAAGCAAGAAAGACAAAATGCTCAGTCCTGCTGGGCTGCATTTAATTGTTTCTTTGCACTGTGAAGGCTAAGGCAGTAGGGTTATCCCCCTTTGTACCCATCTATAGTACAGGACCCACATTATGTGCAGATTCAAGCATGGGAATCTTCAAGTCCCTTATGAAATGTCATTATAATTCAGGTTATTAAAGACTAGATTGGATATCATAAATCCCTATATGTATTGGTCAAAGATAGACTCATTTGTAAAATTAAATTCTATGACAGCAAGAAGTATACCTATTTTATTTACCACTAATGCTCATAGGAAATATTTGCCTAACATAGAGAAGGCATCAAAGAACATGTGCAAAGGCCCTGTGATCAGAGGAACTGTAAGCAAAAGAGAGTCTTGAGAAGGTTAAAGTGGCTGATAGGCAGCAGGTGTCATGTCCAACGAGACTGCTAATGCAGCCAGGGCCCAGAAGATGCAGAGCTTCAGGCTACATAAAGCTGTGTCTTTATCCTATAAACAATGAAAGATCACAATAGATTTTTAAACAGGTGGTACACACAATAGGAGGAAAGAAAAGAACAAAATTCGGTTTGAATGTCGAAAAAAAATTACTTTATGGTGAAGAGACTGGTTGCACAGGAAAGAGGAGATAGAGAATTTAAGAGAATTAGTGTAGGCCAATAGACGGTTGCAGCCACAATCCACTGCAGATATAATGCTAGTTTAGCTAAAGGTACTGGAAATAAAAAGGGGAACATGCTCTCAATACATTCTGACAAATCAAAAGGATACAACTTTGGAAATGGGGGAAAGGAAAACAATTCTTCTTAGCCTCTATTATTCATCTGTGCAACAATACTGCTTATACTCCCTCTTTATAATACATCTTGCAATCTGCTGCGATGGCAACATAAAATAATACAAATATTACGCACATAATACAATACCTCGACACAATAAATGTTGGAAGTAAATAAATAAATTGCTTTTGCTCTCAGAGTCAACTCATGCATTGACAGCTAGCAGAGCTGAACAGTAAAAGCAGTGAATAGGAATACAGTAAAGATTCCTATTCATAGTGCTTAAGACTAAAGCTATTAAAACCTGGTCACTGAGACAACTATTTCAACTAAAAATAACTGACTCCATAGACACGTCATCTAAGCTGATCTCAAACCCTAGAGACTATTATTAAACGAAAAGCACAGCTGGCATGATCACAGCCATCTAAGGGCCCGGTAAACTGAGGCACAAAGGTAAATACAAATTTTACTAAGAATAGGTGGAGAATCAGGACAAGAAGAGGAGTGTCATGATTTTCATTTTTGAGCTGGTCCAACAGGACTCGGCCTGCATCCTGAACAACACGAATTTGCAACAAAAACACACGCTCGCGCGCACACACAGGTCTCCAGGTCCCTCGCAGATAGGGCCGTACCATCCCCTGACCTAACACCGCACATCTGCTCACCAGCAAGGCGAGTCCTTCCAGTTTCCTGGCCCCACGTCCAGGAGCTCGGAGAACACGGACTTCAAAACTCTCAACGTACCTTTGCGTCGCGCTCTCGTTCCTCTTCGGTCCGAGCGTGCTTCATGCTGCCGCTAAAGCCGCCTTCCCCACCGCAAGCCGCGTAAATCCTTCGCCTTGGACCCCCCGCCTCCTGTATGTAGTTCTCTCACAGCTCTGCTCCACCTGCCGCCATTCTCTGTTAGAGGCTCGAGAACTGCCGTTCCCAGGATGCATCGCAAGACACCCGACAGAGCCTCCGGTTTGAGAGCCTGAGAATTTCCCAAGTCACAGCTGGGCGAGTGTAGTACCAGGCGCTGCGAGCCGATAGCCTAGAGTCCAATGAGGACTACATTTCCCAAAAGGCAATGGGGTCGGCCATGTTTCTCCCGTGCTCCTCTCCGCCCGCCGAAAACACGCTGTCGGCCCCATAGCAACGGTAGCTAGCTAGCAGCCAGGAAAGAGTGGCGGTGAGTACTCTGGGGGAAGATGGGGGTAAATGGAGGTTGGCTGGTCCTCCTGCTGCAACACCAGCCAACGCCATGGGGTCCGCTCTGCAATTGCAGAAAGCCTTGCGTTCTTGCGTGAAAAGCAGCCCAACCGTAGACATCTCCCCGTTCTCAGGCCTGCATCACAGCCGCCCTTTTCCCCACGTCCGGGACCAATTTGAAATCTTAAATCCCAAACGGATGAGAGTTGTCATCCCTAACCAGATCCTTCCATTAGGTCACAAGCACAGCTCAGTCATCTCCCAGGATTCAGACCCTACGTCTCAGAGTTACCTATTGTTACCTAAGTACATATTTACTATCCATAACCTGTTAATGCCTCAAGACAAAGACTTTGTTTACAGTTTAGTTTCCTTTTTTTCTATATTTATCCATTCCGTAAATATTAACATTGCTGCTCACCATGTAGCAGACAGTGTTTCCAACTAACTGAACAATACCAATACCCAGCTCAAGATGTTTATACTGTATTAGTGGAGACACTGAGCTAGTTAACAAATGAGGCAATTTTAGACAGAGGTCATTGCTATAAAACAAAGAAACTATGAAGAAATTAGGAAGAGAGCTGCTGTAACATAGTATGGTCTGGGAAAACCTGAATGGAACTCTAAAGCCCAAGGATCTGCCATTAAAAAGGCCTTGAGTAACATGGATGGCCTTGGGGAAAGACGGATGTACCATGTAGGTGGAGAATAAAGGGTAAGGAGTGAAAGCCTGAGATGGTGTTAGAGAGGCTCTGAAGTATTGTGCAGGGTGTCTCAATAATGTTTTGGGCCAGATAGCTATTACCATTTCAGGCCACATAGTTCATTTTCATGGATCCTAGGTACTTGAGGAGGTTTGTCCTCATTCCTGGCATCTACTCCCTAGATGTGAGTAACTCTTCCCTTTTCCAGTTGTTACAACCAAAAGTATCCCCAGATAACTAACTCTTAGGTAAGTAGTTGCCTGTGTTAGCTTCCTCATTTGTAAAGCAGGAATCATACAAGTAATGATCTCACAAGGATATTGTAAAGTTATTTAATTAACTCATATTAATGAATTAAGTACAGCACTTAACAATGCCTGTCCTAAGCATTGAAAACATTTGGGAAGTCTACAACCTTACCACCCAACCATGTCATCAGAAAACATTCACTAAATGTTAACATGGTTATCACCATTAAGGATGATGATAATATCATTATTATAAAATAAATCTAAACATTCATGGAAAAGCAATCATTTCCACAGGTCAAGTTTAAACTTGATCATTTGATTCCTAAATTTCACCTTGTGTGTAACAGTATTTCCAAAAAGAGTAGTCCATCTCCCAGACCCTCTCCCTGTAAACACATGTACATACACATTTTTGTAATGATGTCTGTGTTTTCAGGTCCTGATTCCTTTCGTATAGTCAAACACTTAGTGAAAATCTGCTCTCTCAATGCACCTAGCCCTGCCAGCCTCCAGAAATACATATAAACTTCCTGCTTTTTTGGTTTTTCACATTCTAGAACCAACATTCTAGAAGTTAAGAACCTCTGCCTTAGTGTGTCTTCATTAGCAGTTTGCATTTCACTTTTTAGGTAGATAAAAATTAAAATATAAATTTGAAATTGTTTTTGTTCAGATACAGGAAAAAGAAGAAAAAAGGAAAAACTTATAATCTTACCTCATTTCCTAAGCAAACTATAGGAAATACGCTGTTGAAAGAAACAAAGTATCCATGATTGAATGTAATATTACTTTTAGAATAGAAGCTTTCATCTTCTTCAAGCAGCACATGTGAGCAATAAGATGTCCATTATAGTTTTAGTCCCTTATTCATTTTATTTGGTTCATTCCACTGCATAGTTCATGTAATAACTTGGAAAAAGTTTATTGGAATTTTCTTTCCTCCACCGATAGGCCATGTCTGGTCCAGCTGATGAGACTGCAGGAGATCTGCCTGTGAAAGATATAGGTCTAAACCTCTTTGGAGTAAGAGGCTTACAAGGTATGGCCAGCTGTTATTTATTATAGTTATGAACTTTGATCTGTGATTTCTTTACTTTTAATTTAAAGTATTTCTGATACTCATACAAACCAAATTATTTAAGTAACTATATAGCTCTTGATTGGACTAAACAAGATGGAAAGTTAGAACACATATGGTATTTTACTGCACGCATCAATTATCAACAGATCATAGCAAATGCAAGATCTCCCTCTGTTCTGATAAAGAGTTGTTATAAATCATCTTTTTAAAATTCCTCACATCAGTAGAAACTACATAAAATGTATCAAGCCTCCTAACTGAATTGCCTGGCTTAAATCACATTCACCATTAAAACAGTTCTTTGTGTTTAAATTTTATATGGGGAAATGCCATATTTTTAAAACTTCACCGTTTAAGTAGAGTATCTCACAATGGCTTATTTATTCCAGTGACACTGACTTTTTATCAAATTAATATATATTAAAGATTTTCTTTATTTTATCAGTTAGTGTCTTCTTTAGAGCTAAAGAGCTCTTTCAATTACAAAAGAAAAGCATTGCTTTAAAGAACAATTTAGAATAGAAAGCTCTATTTAAACAATACATCAGGGCTGGTGAGATGGCTCAGTGGTCTAAAGCACCTAATTAGGTAAGCTAGGGAGGCACA